TAGGAATTGCTTTTGACAGGAATCAGATTTGATGCATCGTCAATATCCATCGTTGTGATTCTTTTGTTTCTCCAATCATTTCTACTATTCTTATTGTAATGTACCGTTACCGTGCCATCACGATTAGTCTGTTACGAGCTGATAACGAAATTTTTCTTGTTCTTCTGTTATGCCACATTTGTTAGATAAATAAAAAAGCTTTTTATAAAACGAAACTTTTGATTTCAATGAGCAGGGCTCAAAAAGTCTTGCCCTGCCCTGTCCTGTGGACATCTCTGTGTCAAAGTACCTGCCCACTGATGATGGCCCTTGAGCAAGATCGAAACAAGTTGTGATTGCTTAAAAATTTATTGTTTGAACTCATATCCTTCAGCAAAGATTTATATTCTGACAAATACAAATGAAATATTCGTCTTTATAAAATAAAGATAAGAAACTCTTTATATTTGACAAACTAATATAAACAAAAAAAAAATAAATATTTATTATTCGAAATATAATCATAAATAAATTCTTTATTTTATAAAATACAAGAAAAATAAATCACAAAAAAACTTCGATTTCTATGAAAGCTTAATCTTTAATTTTTACCAAGTAGTTCACAAAAAATTACGATACCATAGGTGGAAATCGAATATACAAAACAATTTTTTTGTGTATATTTTTTCATGGATGAGCTTAATTTTTTTATAATATCCTATGTCGAAGTGATGTTGGTGATAAAAACACATATTGATTAACATATCCTGTTATTATATAAGTTATTTGTCTATTCACCTATCACAGAAAAAAATCTTTCTTTATTCTTTCTTTTATCGTTGTTTTATAAATATAACGATTTTATTTATCTTGGGGTGGATATGGGCATGGGTGTGGATGTCTACGATTTTGTCGGCTGGTCGGATCCGATATCGGATTTATGCATCTGGACTTCTATGTCTTCGACCATATTTGAACTTCTATTATGTAATAGTCAGATTTGTGTTGATACATCAATTTGTACATCTATAAGAAATGATCACCTTAATAATGGTTCATGTTATCGTCTTCGTTCATTTTGTGAATAATTATTAAATTTAGATGCTTGTTCTGTACTTTATCCATTACTTGAAAATTTTCAATATGATGAGTATTTCAATGGTAAATACTCAGAAGATGCATCACCATAAAAAAATTTCGAATCATCAACTGACATGATGATGGTGTGGGTGTTAGTGTTCTTATTCTTTTCATCTACATCCACACCCACGTCCACATAATTTTTCTATTGTAATCAACTTATTTTAACTATGTTAGTACTAAAATATTTTTATCCAAAGTCTTATTCGAAAGATTAATGTCGAAACTATCTCTAGTTCGAATTTTGTTAGTAATTATATTAAAATAACTGAGATGTCGTCTTCTCATGAAGAATTTCTGTTGAAGAACAGAACCTGGTTTTTAGTACAATGAGCGTGTGGGATGGGATGCAGGTTTACTTACAGTTGATAGATCTTTTTAGGGAATATTCACACTAACACTGCTAATTTCAACCGAATACAGGGTAATATTCTCACTATTAGTATTGCATGCAACGTACTATTCATTTCTATTAAAACTATAAAAACATAAACTCAATGGATTAAGTTTTGATAGGCTTTTACCAAAATGTCTGAATCTCTTAAAACTACTAATTCAAAATAATAATTTTTTTGTAAATTTTTGTAAACAACATTGTTTTCTTCGCAGACAGAAAGTGATGTAAAATTTTTTGAAGAAACCTGAAAGATAGAGCTCTTCGTGAGCCACAAAATGGCTAATCATTTTCTTTGAAAGATTAAAGTTTCAACGAATAAAATTGAAACAACTTTTTCTATTGATAGAAAGTCGCACACATTACATGAGGAGAATATCATTCAATCACTTTTTTAAATTGTAAGTTTGGATTAAAACGTTCTAATGTAATTTTGTAGAGAATTCAAAAGTCAAACTTTGTGGGACTAGTCATAAATTTTCTACAATCAAAGCCGGTCGAGAAAAGCACGAAATACAAACGGTGCCATAATTTATGGTGAACACATTACTTTCTCGATAGTAGAGTTCTGCTGATGACAACAGAATAGAGTGTGAGCATGAATGTGTGTGTGGATATGAATTGCTGATTAGCTGTTTCCATCTCTTAAGCTTCTAGAGAGATTGATTAAAACTACTGAAGTCAGTTTGAATTTCATTGTTTATATCGACTTATTTCGCGTCAAGATTTTGCATTAGGTTTTGTCTCTCCTTTTTTTGAAAAACTCCAAGAATGTGTACCTTACATCCTTGAATGCTTTTTTGGTAGAAATGTGAAAAGCTGGCTGTGTTCAAAGCAAAGAGAATATTTTTATCAGGGTTTCACGAAATAGTTTTTGAAGTGCGGCAATGTGAGTTTATATAAAAAAATAATACACAACCATAAAGAAGTTATGTATTGAGAATAACCCTAACGACCAAGTCGAAGCTGAGATTTTAGCTACAGACGAGAGAAGTTCTTGAAGGAAAACTTGAATCAAATGTGAGATGTTTTCTTGATGATCCGCAATATCAAGAATCGAATAGCTATTAACAGATCTAGATCAACATTTCTTTGTTAGAGTACCGTGGCATCTTCCTCTCTCTTAGAAAAGGGTCAGCGAATCCGTAGGATGCGCGCTACTTGTGACTATACCATTTGTTTATAATCAACAGGTATGATAGAAGAGTATTAAAAAATTAAAATAAGCTACAAGCGCAGAGAATTCGATGAAATCAGTTACAGTTTTCATTGTTTAAAGTTCTATAAACATATTAAAAGTTTTTACTTCAAAAACTCGAACAAAAAAGTAAGAAACGAAACTGTTTCTATTGAAGAAAACGGTCAACAATGACAGTATAAGAAATCCTATTAATCCAACATTCTTACAAGGTATCTTGAGATGATATTTTATCAGAAAAGAAACCGTATTATTTCATAAGAAAAAAAATTCTATGGGAAGAAGAATTTATCTCATTCCATTCAAAGTCTCGTTATTTTTACATAGATTTTTAACAACACTTTATAATATTTAAGATTATCCTATATAAAAATAATTATTTTGATAAGATGATATGAATTAAAAGTACATATTCATTAGATTTGTTTGTTTCTTAAATAAATTAAATAATTTGTTTATCAGAACTATTTGTCATTTCTTTTTTCTTTTACATGAAAAAATTGTCATCGAATAAACGGTAAGAATATTAAAACTAGAAAGAATATATTATTTTTTTGAGAAAAGACTCTCTTTAAAAGAATATTACTTCGACAATGTATGATGAGATAAATTGAAGAGAAGATAAAGACAGGCAAATATTTATATATATAAACGAACTTCAATTGAAAGTAGAAACGACGAATACAGCATTTTTAAGTATTCGAAATTTTCACAATCATTCTGGTTCTTTTTTTTTGTTTTCTTTATATAAAACATCAGTTTGTAAAGTGAATACAAATGATAATCTTTCTTTATTGAAAATGATCTGTTTATATAAAATTTTCATCATTTTCGTTGAGAATTAATGATCAAAACTGAACAACGTTTATTTTATTTTCGTTTAAATCATTTTTGAAGAATAGAGTTGAGTTGTTAGATTTTCAATAATATTTGAGTACATGTCGTATCGAAGTTAATTTTGATTCATTTATCAATAAATAATTTACTTCATTAAGTATCCTACTGCTGAATATATCATCAAAAATAATTTTTTTTAAAATAAATATTCATTTATTTAAGATTCTTAAATAAATGAATATTTATTTAAAAAAAAGAATTTTTTGATTGTATATTCAGCAGTAGAATATTTAATGAAGTAAATTATTTATGGATAAATGAATCAAAATTAATTTCGACAAATTCGTCTGTCGAAGTTATAACTTCGTTGACCGGTGTAACTTCGATACGACATATACATTGATTCAACGATGGAATGAAACAATGACATTGTATCTTCATCTGACCGTCTATTAAACAAATAATAACATCATTGACATTTTTTCTTTTTCTTTCTGATGTCGACTGGCATAAATAAAAATAATGCTCGTCAAACGAAACGAATGAATATATGTCATTTGTGCATCTCAACATATATAACTCGATATGAATGAATAAGACACATGCAAAAAATGATCGTAACCAAGTTTGAATGCTCACCTATCAATGTTCTTTTTGAAATTTTTCCTTATCTATCTCCTGTTGAAATTCTCCAGTCATTTTCATCATTGAGTAAATGTTTCTCAACTATTGTTCTGCGACAACATTTATGGCACGTTCATATTGGTGGTAATACTATGTCATTATCAATGTTCAAGAACTTTTGTCAAAATGTGTTAAAATTGATAGGAGATCGAGTTATCTCATTACGTATTACATTTAGTAATATGATTGGTGGTTGGTCGCTCGTTGCATCATCTCTAAACTATCATCAGACAATATTACTTCGACGTCTTCATCTAATTGATATTGAATCACATGAATTTGATAAACTATTACGAAATCATTTAGTAAAACAATTACATACTTTACTGGTCGATGTGACAAAGTGTAATTCATTCAAATATCAAGTAGTAGAAGGAGCATATCTAGCTAAAGTAAGAAAACAAATTTGACTCAAGTTCATTACGAAACTCGTAGATTTTTGTTTAAAAGAAAATAACTTGTAATATAATGAAGAATTGATTTATTTATTTTTATGAAAGGTGTGTTCTTGTCTGCCTGCTTTAACAATCTGTCAACTTCCATTTGATTTTTGTCCTTTCAGTTGAAATCAATTATCAATATCTTCAGCACCGCCGCTAATGACTTTACCAAATCTTTCCAATACAACTTATCTTCATACATTGACCACTGGTATAAACACATTACGGTTTCTTGAACGTTTAGTAGAATGTATACCTCTCATCGAAAATCTCTCTGTTGGTGTACAAGAGACAGAGATTTATGATGATGACAAATTTGACATAATCCCGTAAGTAACCTCCTAAAATCTCTAAAAGTATCGGTAAAATGAAACTTTTTAGATTGCCTGTTACCGTCGATGCTCGTTTTCTTCGTCGTCTATCCCATCTTAAATTGCATTGTATGAGTAAAAGAAGTTTCCATAAAGCCATTGCGCTTTTATCGTCAGTGTTTGGCCAACTTACTCATCTATCATTAAAATTAAATGCATATACATCAATCTCTGGTGCATTGATTATATCAGGTGATACTATTCAACAATTATGTATCGATCGTCTAAAACCATCGGCAATCTATACTCTTAATCTATCAGTCAATGTTATTAAAGAGTCGGAGGAAAAAATAATTTTCACCTCATTTGTTAAAGCTTCATTTGCTCGTCGAGAACGACCGAAGGTGTTTGTCCAAGAACTTGATAATGGAACGATTGGTCATAATTATCATTGTTTTATAGTATACACTGCACCATATAATGATAGGATGCTTCCAACGTACTTGTTCTCTACAGATCTGGAAAAGTGTGTATAAAATATATTGTTCGTATCAAAGATGTATATTAATCTTCTCGTTCTATTTAGATCTTGCCAAATGTCGATTAATGCCGTAGATTTGTTTCCATACGCAAATGAGTTATCTCTAAGAGGTCATCACAGAGACACAAATTATCTTTCAGATCTCCATAATTGTAAAAATTCTATATCATCATTGGTTCCATGGTCATTATTAACAAAAATTTCAGTCAAGAGATGTTATATTGATAGAGCAATTGTACTAGAAGCAATATTACGAATGGCTTATAATGTGCATACATTACACATATATGATGACAGGGGCAGTTTAGCTCGCGCGATATTGTATAATCGGAAAAATCTTGGCACTCGTGTCAATGAACAAGTAAGGATTTCTATTTTAAAAGAGAAATCTTATTGAATTTGATTTATCTAAAAGTTCTTTGGTTGATGCTTGTTTTTAAGGAAATCTTTCTTTTTTAAAGTTATTCAGATTTAATGTTAGAATGGAAAGAGTATAATAAAATTTTAACTTATTATAAAACTAAGATATATTTCAATTTTTTTTAAATGAATGGATTTAATTTCTATTTATTAGATACAATCATTACGTATGGACGATATTACATTAACACTGCGCAATGCTCAACATTTTTGCACGCTACTCTCGAATCGATTACATAACTTAAAAACCTTTCGTTTATTATCTATGATTCATACTATGGATGGTGTTGGAGCCCATCACGTCTTGTTGATGGGGAAAATAAATCTACAAAACGCATTCTTAATCTTATTTATTTCCTTGTTGATCATTTACAAGAACTTGTTTCGCTTTCCATGGTTTTTTTCTGTGGAACTGTCTCTGAATCACCCTGTTTCCCACATCTAATTCGACAACAACTGCATCAATATCCATTGAGTCGACTTTATCGATTACAATGTTCTTCCGGATTTATTCAAATCTGGCTTTAATACTATATGAACAATGTTAAGACGTTTCGTTGTTGTAAATTTTCTGTATATAAAAACGGGAGCTTGTTCAATTTGTTGTATGATACTTCGGAGATTTGTTATTTCGATAAGATTAGATAGATCAATGATTATTCTACCGAATCATATAGTTTTCATTTTATTTATTTTTCTCTTGATCAGAAATTAGAAAAACTTCAAAAATAGTTAAAACGAAACTGCATTTTCTTATTTTACCCAGATCAAATCTGTTGAGCATGAAAATTTCTTTAGATAGAAGAAAATCATCAAGCTTAAACATGAAAAAAAATATTAGACAAAATTGATTCGAATTTGATGAGAGAATAGATTGTTACCGTTAAAGTTGAGTCCATTTTGGTATTTATGAAACAGCAAGTCAATACTAATTTGTGCAAAAATTTGCCAGTAAGACTCCACTTAAATCTGACAAAAATTATATTTTATGAATAGATAGAGAAACCACTGTTGCATCAAGACATATCAACGAGTAAAAGATTTAGATATTCAAACAATTAAAATTTTCTCGAGATAAAACAGATAGAATTCTATGAAGAAAGGTCGTGAAAAAGCTTTCCAAAAAAATCTTCAAGTTTGTCGTAAAAGTAAGGAATAATTTTAATGAAAAAAATATAGTTTGATAGAAAAGGAAAGTTAAATTAAATTTATCTATATAAAAAAAAAGTTTCAGCATTTAATTAGTTAGTAGTTACCGGAGAATATAACTGCGAAATGATCCTAATGTTGTTTTAACATTGTTGTTTATTGTATTCACTGCTGTATTTCTGCAAGAGTTTTGAAATTTCAAGTTTAGCTTTATATTCCTTGTTAGTTTTTTCTTAAATAATCAGCTTTTTTACCAATTTTGCTGTATCAGAGAAAGCATGCTCTTTATATCATGAAAAATTAATAATAGATAGTTCTAGTTCTGAATGATAAATAGGATGGGTGGGATGTGAGTGACAATGAAGAGAAGACCCACAGCCTCAGCCCCACACACCCACACCCTCCAGCTTAGAACAAAACACTAGTCTCATCTGATAAAATTATAAAAATTTAGCTTGTTTTACTTCAACTGTTTGTCTGACAATTAGGATGTGGGTGTGGGTGAGGGTTATTCTGTTCTTCAACAGCACAGCTATACCCACACTCAAAATACGATTGATTCGCTTTCATTATTCATAATAGATTTGACAAAACAACATTTCATTAAGTTCATCATAAACTTCTATCGGCATATCTAAAAATATTAGACTTTAAAAATTTCACGAGTATTTATAATTCAAATGTCTGAATTTTTCAACATTTGTAGAAATAAAACTTGCCATTACAACCACGAATGGAACTCATATATGAACGTATACATTGTTATCCTTTAAATGACAAAATATGATCTTCGGTCAAATTTCATAAATATTGCTCAATCAGTTTTGCTCATAAAACAAATCATCTCTTGAATGATTATAGAATACTCTAGAAGTATAGTTCCATTTATCCCATATGGAAGTATTCTTCAAATCCATCGTGGATGTGTGGGCATGGGTGGAGTTCTATTTATCTAGATCCACACTTACCTACATACTGGGTGTGGATGGGTGGGGGTGTGAGTGTGCGGTTAATGTGGTT